ACCTGCTTTGCCTCCCAAAGAACAGGAGTTTATCAACTGGGCACCTGGGAAATTGTAATTTATACCTCTAAGGAGAGCAGAGGAGTCTGGACAACTAGCTGTGGCTATTATTTTCTGTATGTACAGAAACCTACTCTGTTGGAGGGCCTGGGTGGCTCAGTCGGTTAAGCATCTGTCTTGGGCTCATGTAATGGTCCCAGGAGCCTGAGATGGAGCCCCAAGTTGGGTTCCCTGCTCAGCAAGGAGTCTGCTTCTTCCTTCCCCTCTGCTGCTCCCCCTGCTTATGCTCTCTTTCTCAAATAAATAAATAAAATCTTAAAAAAAAAAAAAGAAACCTATTCTGTCAATTTCAAATAAAATGGGCAGGTTGTCAATGTTATTGGAGAGATGCAATGGACATTTCAGGGACAGAGGGATATATAGTTCAGTCAGGGGATCCAGAGAACTCAAAGGAATTATAGGTCAGGAGTGAAATTGACCTGGGCTAAATTAGGTTCTGCAGTTTACTAGTTGTGTAATTGTAAGCAAGTCATTTAGTAGCCCTATAAACCCTTTTCTTCCTTAACTGTCCTAGGGAAACTATTATCTTCTTCTCCACTAAACTGTGAGGTTCAGATTGCAGGGAGAAGAATGATTGCTGGCATGCAGTAGGTGCCCGAAATATTTTGTTCATCTATGCATGATGAGAAATTAAAAGAATATTTGAAAAGGGCAGTTACAAAAATATTTACAAGTTTATACCTTAAAACCTTGCCTTAATTACAATTCTGGGAAAATGTACAGTATGGTACAGAGAAAAAGATCAGAATTGCATAGTCTTGGGTCAAGTTCTGTGACTTTGGAAAATTTTTCCTGCTTAAGGTGCCTCAGTTTTTACTTCTCTAATATCCCTAAAAATCACACCACTAAATTTATAATAGCAAAAATGGTTGTGATAATTAAGTGAGGCAATGTGTAGGAAGTACCTTGAACAGTGCCCCAAATGCAGTAAACACACTACTATTGCTTTTTTGTTGCATTACAAGATTGTTAACCTCATCTCTTTGCATACCTGTTTGTACCTCAGTTCTAACAGTAGGTGGCAGCAATGCTCTCTTAACCAATTTGAATGAACACTGCCAATTTTTTGGAATAATTAGTGAAAGCTTACTGTGTGTAGGGCACCAGAAAAGCAGGGGGATAGAGATCATAAAGAAAAGAATGGAAGGGAGGAGGAGGAAAGAAGAAACAGGGGGTGGGTGGAAGACAAAGAAATGTTTAGAAATGATGTGATAATTCAAAAGAAAATACTAAAATAGTCTTTATGGGGGTGGAGCAAGAACCAGATCTCAATTGGACAGCCTTCTACCTTATAGGATTTAATGTTATTTAAAAATTTTTTATTTATTTATTTATTTGACACAGAGAGATCACAAGTAGGCAGAGAGAGAGAGAGAGAGAGAAAGGAGGAAGCAGGTTCCCCGCCCAGCAGAGAGCCCGACGTGGGACTTGATCCCAGGACCCTGAGATCATGACCCGAGCCGTAGGCAGAGGCTCAACTCACTGAGCCACCCAGGCACCCCTGTTATTTTTGTTTTTAAAGACATGTGGGAGAGTGGTACTTACCATATATTTTCTGTGTTGACAATTTTTAAGTCTCTCTTAACTGGTCCTAGATGAGATTTTAGCTGCCCAGAAGGAATCTATAAAGCATAAGGTGTTTTACCCTTCATTTTTATCAAATTATTAATCTCAATTATAAAAATATAGCTATTTTCCTCTGTGTAAAATACTCCTTCTACAATAAGACACTTAGTGTATATTAGTTATCTGCTGCTCTGTAACAAATAGTCTAAAGGTGGGTGGCTTAAAATGATAAGCATTCATTTTCATATTTTCTGAGGGCCAGGAATACTGGAGCGGCTTAGTTAGGTGGTTCTCACTCAGGGTCTCCCATGAAGTTTCAGTGAAGACATCAGCGGGGGCTGCATCATCTGAAAGCTTGATGGAGGCTTGGAGGATCTGCTTCCAAGCTGGCTCACTCACGTGGGTGGTGGCAAGAGGCCTCAGCACCTCACCGGTTGTTGGCTAGAGGCCTCTATCCCTTTGCCTGTGAGTTTCTCCATAAGATGGCTTGAGAGTGCCCTAACATGGCATCTGATCTCTTCTAGGGTCTCTCTTGGATTTTCTCACTAGATCCAAGAGAGACCACAAGAAGGAAGCCACAATACCGTTTATGACTTGGTTTCAGAAGTCATACTCTGAAACTTCTACTGTATTTGTTAAAAATGAGTCACCTAGGAAGTAACTAAACACCATTCTCAGGAATCATATACATATACAGGAAGCGAGGTTCAAAAATGGAGAAATCACAGGCTGTCTAATCTCTCTTAGTGGGGCCATGGACATATATATCATCCTCTCCCTGGAGCTTAATTTCTTCCTCCATAAAAAGAGAACAGCCATAGCATCTTGAGCCACAACTCTAAAGTGGCCTATCTCTGCTCCATCTAGGTGTGATTTCAGTTAACAACTTGGTCTCTATTTTTTCATCTCTAAAATGAAATGATCTTAGACAGTGGCTTTCACACTTTTTAGACCCATTGTGAGAACTGTATTTTATATTGAAACTGCATACACGCAGGCATGAAAAAGAGTCCATATGGATAACAAAAAAGTAAGTTCCACAAAACAATACTTATTCTCATGATGTACTCACATTCACTAGCCTCTGCCCCATTCTATGTTAATTTGTTTGAAAAAAATTCAGTTCAAGATCTACCGCATTGATGTTACAGCCCATTGAAGGGTTCAACATTCCTTGTGTTAAAAGCTAACACCCACTCTCACTCCTTGAGGCTCCCTTTTCAATTGTATTAGAACAGAAATGTTAAAGAGTTAAAGAGTCCTCACCTTCTAAGTCTGGAGAAGCAAAAAGCACCTTCAAAGGGGGTTCAAGCCAGGGCGCCTGGGTGGCTCAGTGGGTTAAAGCCTTTGCCTTCGGCTTGGGTCATGATGCCAGGGTCCTGGATTGAGCCCCACATCGGGCTCTCTGCTCCGGGGCAAGCCTGCTTCCCCCCTCTCACACTGCTTGCCTCTCTGCCTACTTGTGATCTCTCTCTGTCAAATAAATTAAAAAAAAGGGGGGGAGGTGGTTCAAGCCTACCAGCCTATCCTAATGGGCCGGGAGCTAGTATCAGAGGCTTCTTGTCAGGGTGGAAAGGGTACCGTGTTTAGCTTCAAAAGCTGGCCCTGCGACTCATGAGCTCTGCCACCTCAGGCAGTCCCTTAACCTGAGTTCATTCCTCCCTTCCGTAATTGGAATAGTAAGTATCCCTTGCCTATCTCATAAAGTTGTTAGCAGGCACAAAATGAGACAATTAGTCACTTACCATGTTGGCAGAGAAATGACAGACATGATCTTTATTCCTCACAAGGACCCTGCAAGAAACAGAGTATGACACTTGTTTTACAGATGGAGAAATTGAGGATTAGAGAATTTACACAGGCAAGACCTTAAAGTTAGCGAGTGGCAGAACTAGAGTGCCAAGTCCGTTCTGACTCCCAAGACCTATGGGAAGGAGGCAGGCTATCTTCATTTGACGTTTAAGTGGTGACCATCGGACGTATTAAAATACAGATTCATCCTGAATCACTTCAGTGTAATTACTTCATAAACTGGTCCATGAGTCGACCTTTTCTAATCTGTCATGTCCTGACCACGACAACACGTAACTTATCACAGGTAGGCTTGGGGCTTTTTCGCGTTTCTAGCTGCCTTGACCCACCAGGGACAGCGAACATTGACAATACCGCCTCGCTCACGCTGAACACGTCAGCACTGAGCACATTTCTGTAAGCGGTACCCCCAAATGGTCCCCACAACTAATTCCCCGGGTCGCTTCAATACAATTCCCTGACATTTAAAAGTGTCATTTTCAGAGAAAGGCCTAGCTTCCATCTCTTTCGCTCCCAAGTTTTGTTCCGTCAAGGGTGTGCGAGCCTTGGCCGCTTAACCCGAGGGCCCCCGGGCTTGGCTCCCTTAGGCCCCGGCGGGCGGGACTGGCACCACAAAGCCCTTTATTGAGGCCTACGCGTGACGCGAGGCACCCCACTCCTGGGCGCTGCCGGCAACTCGAGAGCGAGTAGGACGGAGGCGTGTGCCCGCGGCGCGGGCCCGCAGCTGTGCGCGGCCATGGGCGCCTAATCGGGCGCGCGCTCCGAGACCAGCGAGTGCGGATAATCAGGCGCGGGCGCCCGCTCCCCCTCCCGGGATCCCAGAGACCCGCCCTCGAGGCCCCGGCTGACTGGGCGTGCCGGCCGCGCGTGGGGTGGGGTTGGGAGGAGGGGCGGGGCGCCGGAGTGGGAAGGGGCGCTGGGAGGTCCTGCCCCTCCGCCCTCCGCCTCGGGCTCTGCAGGCGGCCGAGGCTCCACCCGCTTCCTTGGAGCCGGGTCCCGCTCGGAACTGCGCCCCGGGGCGGCGGGGAGGTTCGCCCCTCCGAAGGGTGCGTGCGAGGAGGGTGGAAGGGGTTCCTACAGTGGGCCGCTTCCGGGTAAGCTGAGATTTCGGAAAAAGGGAAAACCCGGGAAGGTCGGCATTCCTTTAAAGGGCTCGGGCGGGGAACGGGAAGTTCCCGTGTTCGCAGAGCCTTTCGTCGCTTAACGTTGCCCAAGTCAGACACGTTTGGGTGCGGTGTTGGAGCCAGTTTGGCAGGTTGGGCAGTGACGGAATGCCGATGCTGTTAACTTGGCTTTTTCTCCGTCCTCGGTAAGAAAGGATCAAATGAGTTCATGGAAAATGAAAGAGAACACGGTTGTACCTTAGGGGTTCAGCTTCAAGGAATATTTGTTAGGGATGTTCTGACATCCAGAAATGCTCTTTCTAAATCTTTTTATTGTGTGGGTATTAAAGTGAAAGCCATTAATTCTGAGAGTTGCAAACATTACAGGTAAAGCGAACAGAATATGCCAGTCATTCCATCAGGCACCTATGTTAGGAAATTGGACCGTGGTGATTCACCATGGCTTACGGCTTGCCAAGAAAGAACACAGTGAAAACCATATTGCGGGGCAGTTGTTATAACGTGTAAGTATTTTCATCACTGTGAGCATTGACTGGGGGTCGGGAGTGTCCTTGGTAAAATAAAAGTACCGGAAGCCTTATGTTCCCCCATGAGATACTGGGCTAGGCGGTTTCAGTTATCTGAATAGTGATTTTTTTTTTAAAGGGAAATGCCTTTTTTTTTTTTTTAAGATCTTTACTTATTTATTTGACAGAAAGAGATCACAAGTAGGCAGAGAGGCAGGCAGAGAGAGAGGGGCGCGGGGGTGGGGGGAAGCAGGCTCCCCGCTGAGCAGAGAGCCCGATGTGGGGCTCCACCCCAGGACCCTGAGATC